CCTCCACCACACTGGGGATATGGCACTATGCTACAAAAATGAGACCGGGCGCATACCAGGACCATGAAAATGAATGATCAAACGAATGGAGTGAATGAATAGTTATTTACATAGTTTATGATAAACATCATTAACGGATGGAGATGAAAGATGAGAAATCTCATTGTAAGCCGAGATTACTTTTCGGTAAACGGGACAGCGGCAAAACGCCCCTGACGTTCTCCTGCGACGACCGCAGTCCGCTGGCCAAACTGCCGCTCGAAGACGAGTGGTTCATTTCGTTTCGCAGCTGTCGCTGGCGGCTGCTGTCCAAACTCTGAAACAACGCATCGGCTTGCTCCTTCAGATGGTCGGCGAAGTACCAGTAAGCCTAAAAAACAACAGTCTTGTGAAGTAAACAGCGACAATCACGGTGTTAGTAGAAAACATAGGATTTTACCCGTCGACTACTTATTAAGTGGTGGTGTTTGTCATGGTCATAGAAGACCATCCCTGTTGTGGACCGAAAAACGACCCGGAATTTTCAGCGCTTTCGTTTGTGTAGTGCAGTGCAAAGGGACCAACCTGCAAAGGCCTTAAGGTGCGCATGCTAATTCTAGGGTCGCCGCTAATTGGTGCTCAAAAGACAACACCAGTGCGACAAACAACGCACCTTCCTTGAAAACGACCTTGCATCTGGGTCGGCGTCGCTTAAGCCCTGACGAATGAAGTCGCACAGCACCGTCGCACTTTTCTTCAGTTCGTGAGTTTCCCACGTCTGGCAAATGAAGCAGACCATCTCACAAGCGTTTCTATAAACAGAGGCAGAATTCAAAACACCGATAAATAAACGTATCTGAACATGAACGGAAAGTAAAGTTTGCAACCGTTGAAATGTCAGTATTCCTTACAGTTTCATGATGTGACAATTTCTGAAGCTTATTTACTCAGAAAGTTGATCTATGGCACTGAACTTAATTTGCATGCCATCAGCCAGATGTACCTGATTTTAAACGCAGAATCGACAGCAGCACTGCAAAAAACGTGGTGTGCAACGACTCCCACAGAGTGGAACTCATTTACCTACCTCAGATGAAAGAAAGGCGAGTGACGCGACCGGATTTCATGCCTATGACCCGTCAGCTCCGCGTCTGATGCTTCAACCATGGAGCAAATTAGATGTGAAACAACGTGTGATAAATTCCATAATCCTCAAGATAATTCGTGTATGAAACAAAGTCTGCCGCTTAGCGAAATCAAACCCGCCGCTATGGCCGTGTCTCAGATAGGACAGTCTGAATACCTATCCAGGAAGGTGTATGGGCGCACTATCGTTACTATATTTCAACGAGAGCCGTGTAAAAGTTTCATTATGCCACCCACGATCCAAACGGTTAATGACAACGAAAATTACAATTAACTGGCAAGATTGCAAGAACGCCCGGGAAGAAGAACCATTTCATGCGAATTCGAAACTCAAGACTGAGGAAATGTGGCAGAAAGCTGCAACATTTATTCACAGATTTCGTTGCATCTAGCATTCTAAACAGAAAATGGCATTTAAATGGTTTTATAATCTGCACTGAAAGCGAGCCCCACGACTCAATTACTGACAGGTGATTCGCTGCTTCATTCGTCACATTCATCCGTTCATTCATTCATTTATTTGCCCAGATATCTATTCACTCTTTCAATCCTCGATGCATTTGTTCGTTCATTTATTCTTTCATCGAATCCTTTATCCAGGTAAAGTCACTTCACAGAGACCAATGCCAACCACTGAAAAATCTACTCTCTATTGCTCTCGCACACCAAGTGAGAAGAAATGTGAGAACTGAGATACTCTGGTAAGCTTTGAGGATCCTCTCACAGTTAATGAGACTAATCAACAAGATCTCCTAGCATCTTAGCAACGGCATAGACACATCTGAGTGAAAATACCCAAGTCACGTACTTTCTGATTTCTCTTGACTTGGAATTAGAGTAGTTGGTGATCAGGTTAATCAGACGATAGGAGTGCGTGTTCTACAAAAAAAGAAGTTCAAAAGGAAAACAAAACAATGGGCTAACAAAAGCTGACCTTTATAAAAAATTTACACGTCGTCAGCCCTGAGGTAGCGATTACTTTGGCCGAATTCTGTATCAGGTTTATCAGAACAGGCAACAACGACTCTGCGAAATGGTCGAACTTGATTCCAAGCTTCTCGGACAGGAAGCTAAAATTTGCAATATTAAGTAAATGAATCGACGAGATATCAAGAAAGCCGCTGAAATGCGGCAACACCTACGCAGAGGTGATGCAAGCTTCTCGAACAAGTACCGAACGCAAGTCCTTCGTCACCACCTGAAAAGGAACTTCCAGCAGTCGAAGCTCGGTAAAGAACTCTTCGTGTTCAGCGGCACCCGCGATCACCAGGCTTCGCAGAAGCTTCAGCTATAAAATAGTGATATAATTCGCACTATAAACATTAGTAAAAAAGGAAAAGAAAATGAATAACCAAGTTCACTAGTTCACACAAATATAGCCTAGTATCTTTATAACGGAAATCGACGAAACAAAAAATATATAAAAGCTAATTTAATAGCCTGACGATCATGAACCTCCACGTACAAAATTACTTTAACTAACCCGGCTCCTGAGAATGCTGAACGGGTGCGAGAAAGTAAACGCTTCGAACTGTGACGACCACTTAGACGGTTCTTCAATCTTTACAAATGGCAAGGCACTAATAAGATTGTTTGTTCTCCAAAAAGTCTAGCCAATTAAAGTTACATATTTTCAGGGTGTCGACGGTACAAAAGGAAAACAATGGTGCTATAAAC